CGTGCCCCTGCCCTCCCTGTCCCCTCCCGCAGGTGCTGGCCCGGCTGGGGGTCGCCGGCCAGTGGCGCTTCGCGGACGTGCTGGGGCTGGAGGAGGAGGCCCTGGGCTCGGTGCCCACGCCTGCCTGCGCGCTGCTGCTGCTGTTTCCGCTCACGGCCCAGGTAGGGCGGGGGTCCGGGATGCGGGCCTGGACCCTGCGCGCGGCTCCCGAACTTGGGGCGTGGACGGTTCGCCTCCCCGCCAGGCCTGGGCGCCCAGAACTGACAAACGGCCCCCTTTCCGTGTCGGGGACAAAGGGCGCACCGCCCAGGCAGGGAGGAGCCTGCACTTGCGTGGTACCTACACCCCGGGGCTCCTATGGAAACGCGTAGTTGCCTCCTGGCTCATCTGTTCAGAATTGCCTTGGTTTTGGTGGAGAAAGGGCACCCCACTGCGTCCCTCCCAACGACCAGGGAGGGGGTGCACCCTGCTCACCGTGCAGCGGAACCCACACTTCCTAACCGGGCAGCTCATTGTCTGGGTTGGGCGCACCTGGCTCTAAAATGGAGCGCACCTGTGCCTCGGTGTCAAGGAAACAATAGGTTCTGCTTCTCCACCTCCAGCTGCCTGGTGTTTGCAGTCTCAGGGGTGGGTCACCCCCTTCCTCTTCCCCACAACATGCACTTGTTTTTTGCGCCCCCTGAATGTGCCTTTTCAAGCTGATCGCTGTGTGAGACTTCGGTGCAAGAACCTCTTTCCCCACTGACCTTATGGTCAAATCGGTGGTTATTAGCACAGGCTTGGAAACGCCTTTCTGCTTCTCCTTGGGTGGCCTTCCTCCTCCCAGTGTGCTGGGTTATTTGCCTCCATGAGCATCCGTGTATAGACGCCTGGCAGGGCTATCTGGTCTTGTCCCTATGGAGTCCCACTAAGTAGTGTGGCATCGTGTCTCTTCTGGTTGTCACTGGACCCTGCCTTGAGAATGCTTGAAATTGGCTTTAGCAAAACTTAGGGTGTTACCATTTGGGGCATCCTTCCAGACAGTGAGTAACTGAAGCATCATCCTAAACTAGGTGTTCGAGAAGCATCCTCAGCCCGAACAGGTCCTCTGGGAAATTCCAGGCCTGCCTCCTAGGAAACGGGCCGAGCATTACAGATTAAAGTCACTTAAGACAGCATTCTCTCACTGACATGTTTTGATTGCTAGAGCCTTTACTGGGCAAAACGGAGTTGCTGAATGATTGCAAGTCAGACTAGCTTCTTGGTCGACCCAGTCCGCCTCCAACTTCCACTGGAGCATCTCTAGGAGCTTTTCGATCAGAGCAACCATGATGACTCGGAGGTTTTGAGAAGCACTCCGAGGCGAGGCCTCTGGGAGGCAGTGGTGCAGCATGTCGACCTTTAAAAGCTCACTGGGCTTCTTGTGCTGAATCAGGTGCATCTTGTTAGAGAACATTCCGGTTTGATGCGTGGTGTTCGAAAGAGGTTGATCCTTTGTCTTCTAGCTGTCGTTCAGCCTACCAGATTTATGGAGGTGCAGGACACACACAAGGCTTCGGGCCCAACAATGAAGCCAATTTAAATAAAATTGAGGGGTATAGGTTGACAGATTCTAAGCAAGCTAATGTGATTTTGGAGAGCAGCTACTTTTGAGTGAAAGGATGTTATGACATCCTACGTGACCAGTTCTAAAAAACATGCAGGGCTGTGAGATCTTTAGAGCAGTGTCTCCATGAAAGAGCTAGAACAGCCCTAAAAGATAGGGTTATCTCATTTAAAATTGTTACCTGATTGGCCTAGACAAGTGAGAACCCTTAATAGTAACACTTCAGGGAGCTGCTTAATACCACGTGAGCACTTTCTACTAGTTGGAGCTGACGTTGCTAGTGTCGTAAAACTAGTTCTAAGTAATGCAAGACTGTGAAAACTGGAAATAGGCTTCTAATGTGATCAGTTTTGCTGGTTATGGGAAATTGTTTCTGTAGCATTAGCACCCAACTTTTAACTGAGAAATCTTAACTTTTAAGCTCCTTAAAACTCATTAATAGAAGATCCCCACAGGTTCACTTTCTGTGTAGAACCCTAGCAGATGCTTTGAGGAAATCTGATCCTCTGGTCTCGTTCGATTGGCAGTCTCCAGGTATCACCAGTGGTTATGTGGCCTTAAGTTAAACTGTGTAGCTGGCAAGGACAAACTAGTTTTGTATCTTGTGAAAGGAGCAATTTTGTAAAATCTTCCCAACACCCTAGACCCCTAGTCTTACCTTCCCAAAAAGGGAGCGAGGGAATGGTTAACCTCTTTGACTCCTTCCAACAGTTAAGACTCGTTTTGTTTTTGCTTTTGAAGAGATGTAGGCTTGGAGAGGTTGGAAATAGAGCTTTAAGACATGGGGAAACAAACCCACGGGTGTTCTCCTTGGGCGTCCATGAGGAACCTGTGAGAGAGAATCGTTGGTGATGCTGAAGGACAGAGTGGTGGGCTGGTCTTGTTTTCTGACTAGCTGACACGCTCTGTTTCAAGCTAAAAGGTTGCAGTGGTGTCTAGACAGAGCCTTGGGTGGTTTCCAAGATGGTCTCTGCACTGCAGCAGCAGGGTGGAGTCCAGAGCCTCCCAGGGCCCGTGGGGTGGGGGCAGGAGGCTAGTCCCGGGCGTCCGCCAGCATTAGGCCAAGGCTCCTGGACACCAGTCCCTCTTGCTCCATTTAGGTGGTGGAACGCCCCATCCTACCTGCTGTCTACTCTCTGCATTTTCATTTTGAGATCCAAACAGTTTTAGCAGGGCCAGCAGATGGTATAGAGGTTAAGGTGCTGAATCCCACACAGCTAACTCCATGGTCAAGTCCCAGACCCGGCAGCTTGAAAGTCACGCTGGGAACGTGTGTGCATATGCCCAAAATCATGGGAGGAAACAGGAGGAGAAGGGACTGCAGTGTGGCCATCCCTGGGGGGGTGATTCTCACCCCCTCCCTATTTCTGGCTGTGTTTATGTTTTTTGCATTCTTAGCATGAAAACTTCAGGAAAAAGCAGATCGAAGAACTGAAGGGACAGGAAGTGAGCCCTAAGGTGTACTTCATGAAGCAGACCATCGGGAACGCCTGTGGGACCATTGGGCTCATCCACGCGGTGGCCAACAACCAGGATAAGCTGCAGTTCGGTAGGTGTGGGCTTTGAGGCTAGCTGGCCTCAGGGCAGACTGGCACTGCAGAGTTCAGGGAACCAGTAACTGCTAAGACTTCAGCCCCAATTCCCAGGCACTGTTGGGCCACATTGCTGCCTTCTCGTGTTATTTTTTCTTAAATAAGAATTATTTATTTATTTATTTAAATTTGACTAGAGAGGGACAGAGTGAGAATGAGAGAGAGAGAGAGACAGAGAGAAAGTGAGAAAGGAAGCCACCAGGTCCGGGACTCGAACCACAGTCGGCCATGTGGGAGTCCAGCACCCTTAACCACCACACCACCTGCCAGCCCCTTTCCTGTGTTCTTGATCCTAGTGGAATGCAGTTGTCTGCAAGGGGCACTCATATGGGAAGGTTCCTGGTTCACACCCAGAGGCCTCTGTGGACTAGCAGAAGCTAGCGTGGATCGCAGTGTGGAAGACCCCGATGTGGGGGTGCACCCCTCACCACTCTCGGAAGAAAGGAGAAACCCTAAAGATGCTAGTGTTTGTTTTCGGGAACCCGTTTAGTCATGGCTGCGACTTACTCAGTACACCGCGAGTGAGAGTGGGATCTGTTTTCTTTCTTTCTTTTTTTTGTTAAAGGATTTTTTCTTTCAAACTTCTTATTTTTTTAAGCATTATTATTTTTTAAATATTTTATTTTATTTATTCATTCATTTATTTCTTAATTTGACCAGAGAGAGACAGAGGGTGAGAGTGAGAGATAGAGAAAGTGAGAAAGCAAGGTATCAGATTCAGGACTTGAACCCTGGTCAGCCATGTGGGAGTGTCCAGCGCCTTAACCACCATGCCACCTGCTTGTCCCCAAGAATTATTTTAAAACATTCATTACTTAGTTGTTTTTCTTTTGACCAGAGATAGAGTGAGAGTGAGAGTTTGAGAGAGAGAGAGAGAGAGACGGGGAAAGTGAGAAAGCAAGCTGCCAGGTCTAGGACTCGAATCTCAGTCAGCCATGTGGGAGTCCAGCGCCCTTAACCACCACACCACTTGCTGGCCCCAGGAACCTTGTTTTCTGAGAAGCGTGTTGGGCCGTGGCTGCCTGCTCGGAGGACTGGGGAGACCCTGTCTCCCCCCC